TTGCCCTCCCTGCTTCTAAACCGCGCAAATTAAAACCGCGATTTCGCCAGACAGACGCGCGCATGCGCTGAGCCTCAGGACAAGTCGCTGTCCCTGTGGTGAAGAGAGCAAAAAGTGGGTCAGTGACGTCGACACGCCCATCAAAACCGCCGGTAGTTTTTTCCGCCCCTCTATTGGTTCCTGTATGTGTGTGGGTAGGAGGCGGAAGTGCCGGGGGAGGGGGAAGAGCCTCAGCCGGAGCGGGCAGAATCGAAGATGGAGTGGCCGTGAGGGTGGAATTGGCCGTGCGCGCGCTGCCCTTGACCCTTCTCTCTCGTCAGGCTGCTGCTGTTTTGGCGCCCTCGCCATGGAGACGGTGCAAATGCGCCATCCGCGCCGGTGAGGACCTGGGTTAGAGATAAGGGAAGGGGGGGAAGAGTCTTTGAGGCAGAAGAGGTGGCTGGGTATTATGCTCGGCGGACCGGTGCTCTGTTCTCAGGCCTGCTCCTCCTCGAAGAAGAAAGTGTTCCCTGCAACCCGGACTTGAATGCGCTTACTCGGAAGTAAGCCCCCGTTTGTGCTCAGTGGGGCTCACTCGCAGGGGAGTGTGCATAGGCGTTCCTGCGTTTGCTGTGCGGATGAGTCAGTGCATGCTTTCATGTTGGCTAACTTTTTTTCAGTTGTTTCTTAAGGGTGTTCTGTTGTGTCCTTTCCATCCCGAAGACACTCCAAACGAGGCTTGTGGCATTCTTTAAATCAAAAGCGCACCTCTGCTCAGTGTAAAATCATAATGGAGCAGCGACAAGACAGATGAAAAGAAAGTCCTCTTTTGCACAGTATGTGTTTCACTTGTGAAACTTCCTGCTGTTGAATGTAGTAATGACCATGGATTTAGATAATTTAAAAAAGGATTAGAAAAAGTGAGTTCTCTGATTTAGCAAAGCTTATCCTGAAATAAATTTTGTTAGTCCTTGCGGTGCTACTGGGCTCCTGTTTAATCTTGCGGCAACAGACAAACTTGGCTAACCTTTTGGAGGCAGGAAACCTTTATGTCTGGAGGCAGTATGATATTTACTTAGGGGGAGCCAATAGAGGAGATTTTGCCTTTTGTGCTCTGGCTGTCAGTCTTCCAGGATATTTGACTGGCTCCTGTAGGAAATAGAAAATCAATTAAATGAACCCCTGATGGGATGAGAGCCAGTTTGGTGTAGTGGTTAGGTGCACGGACTCTAATCTGGGAGAACCGGGTTTGATTCCCAACTCCTCCACTTGCACCTGGCTGGATGACTTTGGGCAAGCTGTAGCTCTGATAAGAGCTGTTCTTGAAAAAGAGCAGTTTCCGTCAGAGCTCTCTCAGCCCCACCCACCTCACAGGGTGTCTGTTGTGGGGAGGGGAAGGGAAAGGAGTTTGTAAGCCGCTCTGAGACACCTTTGGGTAGTGAAGGGCGGGATATAAATCCAATCTCTTCTCTCTTCTTTTTCATCTGCCAGAGCTACTCCTGTTAAGAACCACAAATATAAAAAGCCAACCCTGCCAGAGCTACTCCTGTTAAGAACCACAGATATAAAAAGCCAACCAGTGAGCAACTTACCACTAACCAGGAGTAGGCATTCTTTTTGATTCCAATACTAGAAAACCCACAACTTGTGAAGATGTTGGTATACTGGCAAATAGGGATGTGGGAATGACAAGAGTCATGCTTGGCCAGACTCAGAGCATACTGAGCCATAGTGGAAGGCTTGCTTTAGTCCCTTGAGTGCGGGAACTGGCCTAGCATGCTGAGCAAAATGGTGTGGTGTTCTGTTGTCTGGTGCACATGCTGAGGGTTGTGTACTTTTGTACTAACCCTGAAAATCAGTGATTAAAGAGCAACCACTAAGTTCAAAGTAACAGGGATAAGCAAAAGATAAAACAGTGGCCACATTAACTGAAGTGGTAAATTCAGGTGGGTAGCCATGTTGGTCTGAAGCAATAAAACAAAGTTTGAGTCCAGTGGCAACTTTAAGACCAACAAAGTTTAGTTCTGGGTATAAGCTTTTGTGCACATTCACTCTTCTTATACCCAGAATTAAATTTTGTTGATCTTAAAGGTGACACTGGACTCAGACTTTATTGAAGTGATAAATGTTATACATTTAATTCTGGGCTTGTGCTTTGAAAATATACATTGAGTTGTAGACAAAAAAAATATCCCCCACACCTCCCTGACTGCTCAGGGACAATATTCCTTTTGGAATTCCCCCTTTGGGCAGGTCCCTGTTGAGCTGGAAAAGTGGTATAGAAGGCAGAACTCCCGCAGTCTGGAAGACATAATGGGAGAATCTCATTTCCTTTCAGTTTTTCTTCCCACCTGCTTACTTTTTATGTCATTTCAGTAAATTGACCCCTCACATTCTAAAACAGCTTTTAGGATGGTGTATTGTTCTTCTGGTGGTTGCCGTGTGTAATGCAGAGTATATGATACTGTGGTTTTGTACCAATGTTTTATGTTGTGTATCTGTAACATGGAAACTTCTCCATCAGAAATTGTGTGCAGCTAAGTGTAGGTGATCATGTGCAACTGTTTTATAGACATGTGTTTTGCTGCATGCTAGGAAACTGTTGGCAGCCTTGAAGCAGGAAGTGCTGGTTTGTACTTGCTGATGTTCATTAGTACCTATGCTTTGTTTCTGACTTCTGTAACCCTAGCTCTGTTACACTGCTTAGGAGGTGCCTCCTCTTACTGATTGCATTGACTTACATTGTGTAATTTGCCTTGAGTCTCAGTGAGAAAGGTGGACATCGAATAGTGTAAATAACATACAAATATTTATGTTTGTTGATGTTCATTGCTCTTTTGTAAGCTTGAAACTAAGAAGCATGTAATGAGTTCTGATGGTAAGAATTAAAGATACTGGAAGTCATTCTCTTTAGTTGTGTGGTGCTGGTTGAAGTCTAATAATGTTTGACATTTATAGAGGACTTTTGAGTGTCCAAAATGCTGCTTATGTGCGTGTCTTTAGTGGCTTGTGAATTGTGCAGTTTAGCAAATGAGAAGCAGCTTTGCAGATGCTCAGCTTTGGCTAATTGAAGCTAAGGTTACAACTGTATTTGAGACAAACACTTGTACAACACTGCTCTTTCCTTTATTAGACACCCAGCTTTTAACTGTTAATGTAATGCTATGCTTCCAAATCTTTGCTAGTTTCGGACAGCAATATTGATCAGGAAAGCTGCCATTATTTTGACAGCTGGAAGAAAGCTGTGTTGCTGAGAACAGAGTAGGATGTAGATCTGTGGAAGTAAAACTAAAGATAGATAGGCAAACTTGCTCTTCCTTCCTGTGTTTCCTCTGCGGCCCATTTCAACTTAAGCATAGATCTGTTAACTTCATCACTGTTAGGACAGTGTTCATTAGGAATACCTACACTGTTTCTGGACTGAGGATGTTAAGGAAGCAATGATATATAACATCAGATCACCGAGAGTACAAGTGATTTTAAAAATAATCCAAAAACACACAAGCCTTCATAAAATCCGTACACTTTTTAAATAAAATGATAATAATAAAAGAACCTAGAATGTATAATCATATTTAATGTACAATAATATGGCATTTTAAATCAGTTATTGATAGAAATTGATGACTAATAAAGAAGTAAAGGTAAAGGTTCCCTTGCTCGAAAGCCAGTCGAATCCGACTCTAGGGTTGCGGTGCTCATCTCCGTTTCAAAGCCGAAGAGCCAGCGCTGTCCGAAGACATCTCCGTGGTTATGTGGCTGGCATGACTAAACACCAAGGCGCACGGAACGCTGTTACCTTCCCACCGAAGTGGTACCTGTTTATCTACTTGCAATGTCTTGCTTTCGAACTGCTAGGTTGGCAGGATCTGGAACTAGAGACGGGAGCTCACTCCATCATGCGGCACACTCGGGTCTCAAACTGCTGAACTACCGACCTTCCACAGCCTGCAGTTCAGCGTCTTAACCACTTGAGCCACCGCAGCTCCTATAAATAAAGAAGTACATTTACTTTAAACATTTGCAATGTCTCCAGCTTTCTTGGTGTTGGTTAGCATGTGCATTCAAAGGGTGTCATCCCATGTCTACAAACATGCTTAGGCTTAGATCCTAAGTCTGGTTTCTGCTTGCTGGACCCCCTTCCCCTTTCTTGGACAGAGCACTATGGGATGAATGCAGCTGCCTTTGTTTGATGCCTCATTAGAGCCATATAGGCTTTGTTTCTGTAGTATTAAAAAACCCTGATATTTATCTGTCATGTGGGGTTCTTATTTGTTTTATAAGTCTTTTGTAATTTCTAATGGCTTTTTAAACAAATTGAGCTGAAATCTGTAATTTGTTCTTGATCAAGTTTGGTTTTTGGGAATTTACAGAAATGCTTGTAGTTACTTGCATCAGTAGAATAACTGAGAATAAATTCTGTGTTTCTTCTAATACCAACTTTTTAACATTCATATGACTTTTCTTTTAAAAGCCATACTGGCTGGATTCCTAACTTGAGAGTAAGCCTCACTGGATAGAATGGGACTTGCTTCTGAGTAGACAGGCATCTGGATTATACTGCAGAAGTCTGAGATTATAGTGATGGAACAGAAGTGGAACAGTTTTGCATAGGACAAGGTTGTATAGCAGTTGACTGCCAATTATTTGAGTTTGGTTTAATATGTTGAATAGCCAAGAATACCTATGTGGATGTTTCAGGTGGGTAGCCATGTTGGTCTGGGCTGGAAGAGCAAGGTTCATGTCCAGTAGCATCTTAAAGATTTCCAGGACATAAGGTTTCAAGAGTCAAATCTCCCTTCATTAGATATAAGATACAGCTATGTAGATGCTGAGTTTGAAGCATGTACCCATCTCCCTTGTGGCACAGCATTTTAAAAACAGATCTTGTCAGATGCAGAAACTAAATTTGTAATTAGGGTTCTAGTAGTTGATCACATTCTTTTAAACAATCATGTTAATATTTTAAGTATCAAAATATTAATGTTAGACCAATAAAATGATCCATTAAATGGCCAATTTATTTAGAAGCTTAACCTGAAGTTAGATTTTGAGTTGAACTCATTTCCTTTTTTTTTAGAAGTGGACTATTTTTAAATAGTCTGCCCTACTTTTAGGAAGGTATGTTTGAGACGTAATCCTCATTCCCTGTGAATGGTGTCCTAAACCTACTTGTTTCAAACAAGAACAAGTTTTTGTGGTTGTAGTGCTTATCTCTGCCAGTGGTCTTTCGCCATTTCCTGGGTTTGAGTCTTAGTAATGGTTCCTCATTTCAGATATGCCGTTAATTCCTCTATCATCTTTCTGTATTCAGAGAAGAGTACAGAGGAAAAAGTAAGGTTTGCTTTTCAAAAACCTATGTAGAAGACTCTGAGCCTGTTACTTACTATGCATGTGAAATAAAGTATGCATGCAAAGCAAAAATTCATCTGTCGGATCTAATACTTCAACATATAGTAGCATTTGCTGATACAAATATTTATGTAGCAAACATGCACTCACAGTAATCATGGATATATCTTAATAGTGGTGCTAATAATCACCGGCCTTGAGAAATGCAGTCACTGACTCTTGATTTTGAATTGTGATCTTTATGCATAGGAAGCCAACCTGCCTTTAATGCCAGAAAGTGGCACAAGCAGTAAGTCTTTGTGGCACTCCTGAATTAGAACAAGATGGTTTAAAGGCTGGGCAAAAGCATATTTGGATTTATACTTCTCTGCTTCTTCTGTGCTGCTGCTGCCTGCCCCTCTCCCCAACTTGGAAAAACTGACTTAAAGCCACTTCAAAGTGTTCATCTTAAAGTGTTTTTTTGGGGGGGGGGGTCCTAGAGCCCCCCTCATTCCTACGTCTCTACTGTGTCTGGATATGTTTTTCTTTGTCGCTAGTTTACTTGGTTAGCCTCCTTGAGCAGGCCTTTGGGGAGGAGATATATGCACTTTCTAAAAAAATTAATAGCTCAGCCCTCCTCCATTCTCTGGGCTGATACGTGTCATGCTTGCTGAAAAGGTTGGCCTTCATTCTTTTATCTTGGTCAGTGTGGTCATTAGTTGGTACATGTTAATCTCTAATGCAGATATGATTTCTGTTATTACGCAATAACATGCTTGTTGCTTGTAACTTTCATTTAATTAACAATTATGTGATCTTTACCGATAAAGCTGATGAATTTGTTACAGTAGATAACTGTATTTTTGCAATAAGGCCTGCTTTGTATATGTAGCTCAAGTTCTTTTTCTTTGACTACAGGCAGTTAAGGAAATTAGATGAAGATAGTTTAACGAAGCAACCAGAAGAAGTGTTTGATGTTTTAGAGAAGCTTGGAGAAGGGTAAGTGTATGATGTGACAAATATCAAGCCTCTTGTTACCCATCCTCTTGAGTAATGCACTCAACACTTACAGTGGCGGTCTCTTACAGAAACTAATTGATTTGCATACAGTAATTTAAGCAACACACTCAGTAGCAGACTGTTCTGAGGTTTACTAAAACCTTGAATTGTTATCTTAAAACTTAATGTAATACATAGAGCGGTAAAATTTCTGGAAATTTTGTAGCTTCGGGAGAAAACCAGGCTAGAGGTGTTCAGAAACATTTGTGGGGAGGTATGCAGTACTTTTCCTGTCAAGCCTAAATTACTTTTACTTATTTAATGACATAAAAGCCATCATATAGAACTTAGTTAACATAGTTTCATCAATATATCTGATTCTCAGTGTGGCCCCATCTGTGGATTAGTGCCATATATGGACAAGACAGGTCTTCCTGCAAATCTGAGAAATACTCAAGTTTACAGAAAAATCTGAAATCTTTTTTAATGGGAGAATTAAACCCCACAAATGATAAAAGGAGTATCTGTAGCTTCAAGAAACTGATTATTGCATTGTTTTGGCCTTTGAGAGAGGAGTCATGGCAGGCCAAACCTGAGGCAACTGTTGGGTGACTTGCTACCATGCAGCTTGTATGACTCATCCAGGATCGTCTGCTTGCTGCTGTTCAACAGCAGCCACACCATGAAAACCAGTGTGATATAGTGGTTAGAGTTTCAGTCTAGGATCTGTGTTCAAATCCCCAGTCTTCTGTGGAAGCACACTGGGAGACTTTGGTCAGTCACAATACTCCCAGCCTAACCTACCTCTCATGGTTGTTGTACTGCCCCAGCAGGATATACAGCAAAATGGGAGAAAGGCAGGTTATAAATGACATGAATACATAATAAATACAGCTGGAAATGGGGTGTTAATGGAAGGAGGGAAGCAGAGAATGCTGATGATATAGGGGCTCACAGAGACTTTAAAGAAATTTCCCTAAACATAAACAATTTTGTCGATGTCTGGGGAAAAAATGGGGCTGAAGCTCAGACCTTCTCCTGGAAGTGCTAGTCTTGCAGCCCAGGTCATAAGACCGGAAATGACCATAGGCTTTCCCATCATGATCGCTAATGCACTGCACCCTCTGCTGGACCAAATTATTACTTTGAACAACAAAATTAAAACTCTCTACAAGCAACCTCAAGAAACCTCTAACAAAGCAAAGAATAAAGCCAAATAAATATCATTAGCAAACAAATATCACTTTGACCCCTTTGGTTTTATTTTTGGCAGTCACATTTAATGTTAATAGAAAGCAAATTTGCATATATTTTTTAATAAAAACGTGTGTGTAATATTTGTTCATGTCTTGCAGCTCTCAAACATCTGACATATATTCTGTGTGGCTCTTACGTTGAGCAAGTTTGGCCAGCCTTGTGATAGAGCTTTAGGTCCAATCTGCATTGGTATTTCTCACCGTTGTGCAAATGATCTCATATCGTCCTCACACCACGCAAATTGTCACAAAGGAAACAAGTTAGCTGAAAACCCAGTTGTCTACATTTAAAAGCAGCCAGGGAACATTTTTCTGCGAACCATTTGTTATTGAACCACGGAAAGAACCCTGCTGTTCGGGTGCCTGGTAGGCATTCACCCCTCCCCTTGCACTGTGGCCCTAGTTAGGTTGATTTAAATGTTGTCTGTAAACCGCTCCAAGCCCTCGGGAAGGAGCGGTATATAAGTTGAAAGTGTAATGTAATGTAATTTCCTGGGGCAGTCTCCAGAACTGGCACCTGCTGGGTGTTTTGTGATTTTTACCCAGCTTGTTCCATCTTTCCTGCCCCCTCTCTGCCTCCCCTTCTGCCAGTCTCCCCCTTTTACTTTCTGTGTGTGTGCATGGGATAGAGAAGGTAGAGAAAGAAGTACTTTTCTCCCTTTCTTACAAGAGCTCGTAGATAGTCAATGAACTTGCTGAGTGGTAGGTTTAGAACAGATAGAAGGAAGTACTTCTTCACTCAAAGTGTAATTAACATGTGGAATTCACTGCCACAGGAAGTGGTAGTGGCTACAAGCATAGACAGCTTCAAGAGGGGATTGGGTAAACATACGGAGCAAAGGTCCATCAGTGCCTATTAGCCAGAAGTTATAGATGGAACGCTATGTCTGAGGCAAGCATACTCTGTATTCTTGGTGCTTGGGGAGGGGCCACAGTGGGAGAGCTTCTGGAGTTCTGGCCCAACTGGTGGACCTCCTGATGACACCTGAGTTTTGGCCACTGTGTGACACCGAGTATTGGGCTGGATGGGCCATTGACCTGATCCAACATAGCTTCTGTTATGTTCTTATCTTCCTTTGTAAGCAATGTGAGATTAAAAAAAAATTCCTCCCTGGAATATTACCCATCATATACTCCCTGTACAAGTAGCATTTAGTTCTTACTTCTAGCTGAACCTCCAGGCTCTGCATAGGTTCTTTAGTGATCCCCTGCTTTCATGACACCTGAGTTTTGGCCACTGTGTGACACCAAGTATTGGGCTGGATGGGCCATTGACCTGATCCAACATAGCTTCTATTATGTTCTTATCTTCCTCTCTAAGCAATGTGAGATTAAAAAAAAAAAATCCTCCCTGGAGTATTACCCATCATATACTCCCTGTACAAGTAGCATTTAGTTCTTCTAGCTGAACCTCCAGGCTCTGCATAGGTTCTTTAGTGATCCCCTGCTTTCAGTAGCTAGAAGCTTGATTGTTACATCTCGCCAGCATATCATCCTCTCATTAAAATGGGAGTCAGTGGCACCTTTGAAGACTAACCAAGCTTATTCCAGCATACTTTTTGTAAGTCAAAGCTCAGTTCATCTAATGCATAATAAATGTCATGGCCTAATGGATGTCCCCTGGATGTGTCTGATGTTCTGTGGGGTGGGGTTTGGTACAGGAATCTAGCAGTCCTGCTGTTGTGTTATAAGAAGGAGAGAACTGTTTTATACATTTATGGATCTTTTTTTCTTCCGCAGGCAGTAGTGAAAGCCCTGTGCAAGTGTGGGGCTGTAGCTTGCAGGCAGTTAAAAGATCACATGGAACCATGTGGAAGCTGTGTTAATTGGTTTCTGTGAAATCCTTTGGCGTGCCTGCTTTTGTCAGGTGTCTGAATTAATTGGGCTCAGCAGAGACGGGACACAGACCTACTGCAGCCCTTTGCATTTCATGACTTTTTGGCCCCTCTGATAATAAATTCTCTCTTTGCTCTCTCTGTGCTTAGGTGGATGTTTTTAAAAATAATCAGTTCAGGAAAACATTTCATTGTGTCTTTTAATGTGGGGTATATATTATTCTTGTTCTTCTGTCTTGTGACATATCCCTTACAAAAATGTTACTGAATTGTTGGGCATACGTGGAACTTGGGTAATCATTACAGCAGTCCTTTGAGAGCAGTGTTGAGTTCTTCAGTGTGCGGTACATTCCAACGCATAAGCCAAATTCCTTGACATGCTGTGTTGCCTTTTATGGATTCTAATCCTGTATGTTTCTTTCTTTCTTGCCACAGATCCTATGGCAGTGTATTCAAAGCTATCCACAAAGAGACTGGTCAGGTGGTTGCAATTAAGCAAGTACCTGTTGAATCTGATCTGCAGGAGATTATTAAAGAGATATCCATAATGCAGCAGTGTGATAGGTAGGTGTACAACACAGGTTTTCCACCCTTTGTTCCTTTCACCCATCCCTACGTCTGGTCCTGCCCACACTGACAAATTACGAGTTAAAGCCAGCCACTATTTTTTTTTTGTCTCAGCACATGCATCCTTTGAGAATGCATACCTTGCCTTTAAGCCCCAAACTGGATTCTGCTGGCAACTTTCATAAAAAGACAATCAAGAAGTATTGTAAAGTGAAAAAAATAAAAGCATTTATCAGCCAATGAACTCATACATTTACCGAGCTAGTCCACTAAACCAAAGACAGATGTACACACCCAAAGCCCCATTTTAGTAAAGGTTTTAAATTTTAGAACCACTGGCTTCAGGACATTGGCTTGACTGATTTCCCTTGCTATAGAATTGGACAGTGCTGTTATAGAAAGGGTCCAATCCCTTGTGACTACCTAGCTTGCCCTGGACGGTAGAGGGAGATATTGAAAGCATGGTTACTTCAGTACAGGAATGTGTATATGGGAGGAGGTGCTCATTTGACTGCCATGCTCTTAATCCATGCAGGGCTTTAAGGGTTGAGACCACCATCTTGAAACCTGCCAAGAAACTAACCAGTAAACAGCAAAGCTCTTCTTAAAGACATGGATAATATAGTCCTTCGCCAATGTATTATCAAATGCAGCCCTAGTTGGACTGCTTTGTGGCTGGAGTGGGGACCAGCCCACAGAGGGGAAGAAGGGCAACACATACCATGCTGGGAGCAGTCAGGCCACAGCTTTATTGATTACTGGTTCCTCAGGTCTTGGTGCAGCATGGGCTAGTGGGGACAATGGATATGGTTGACAGCCCAACTGCTGTCAGTCCCAGTGTTCCCTCTAAGCTGAGTTAGTGTGAGCCAGCTCAGTTTTTTAGTCTCCGGCTCACATTTTTGTCTTAGCTCAGGACGGATGGCTCCAGAGCAGACTAATTCATGCAGTAGCCAAATCGCTCGCTCACAACTTTAATGCCAGTAGCTCACCAAGTAGAATTCCTGCCCACAAGACTCCACAGCTTAGAGGGAGCATTGGTCAGTACCTTCCCCAAACCCACCTGTTGGGATAACCGAGGGCAGAGGACTGGCATTAGGGCTGGAGGAAGTGGAAACCACTATTCTTAGCCATCACCATCCTCATGAGGGCATGGCCATCAGCCCCAAGGTTGGCTGCCCTGTTCCCCACCCTCCAGAGCCACTTAAGGGGATTGCACAGCCTGCACTGTGTTCCCCAGCCCATGTCTGAACTCCAGCAGCCAGTTGTGACAGTTATGCTCGTGCATAACAGAGTGCAAACAAACATACATAGTAAATATAGCTTTTTGCAGTGGGGAAGGTGAAAACCCCAGAGCCTTTCAGCCAGTCAACTCGGGGCCTTTCCAGCCCTGTTAACCAGCAACCCACTGAAGTCATAGCAAAGGACAAGTAGCCACACAGATTGCCAAAGTATCTTTGCCTGAAGTACCTCATAAATCCTTTGCTATTTTTGTTTATATTACCTGGTTTGATAGAAAAATTTATCCTGATAGTGTCTTGGTGGGGAGAAAGGATTTCAGTTTCATAGATGTAATTGTTTAGTTTAACTTTCACCTCTTAGTACTGTAATGTGTGGCCCACTTGTCAGTGCAAGCATCCCAAGAAACTTTCTTTTATTAGTGTTGTATACTTTACTCATCATCAGGATGGTGCCGAAATCCAGCATTTATTACATAATGTGTCCAACATTTGTAGAATCATGGCTGAGAATGTGATTTTTTTTAAACATCCCAATTCAGTACTTGTCACTAGTCATTAATGGGCTTTCCCCAGCTTCTTTAAGGGCAAATAGCAGCTTGTAGAGGCCATTTCTGATCAGGACCACATCTTAAGACTGAAGTGATATGGTCCCTATGACTCACTTGTTTTTTCCCCTTAGGAGGCTCCTTAGGTATACTTAGGGAAACCATTGCCTAACATATTACAATGCTGCTGTGAGGGTTATTGAAGTAATGCATGTCCTTTCAGTGCAATCCTAAAGCCACTGTCCTGAGACGAAGGGCTTTGAGAATAGATCTCAGTAGGATTATGGGTAAACCTGGTTAGGGTTGTTTTCTTGGACATTTAAAACCCCAAATATATGACTGTTTGATCTTATGTTTTGGTGCAGTGTGGCATGTCACATTAAACATTTTGATGTTTCAAAAATAATTTCTTACTAGAAGACTTGATGTGTTGCAAATGTGCTATTAATTATATTATTGGTAACTTAATATTGTAGATTATTTATGTAACTCTCCAGCTGTGGCAGTATTAGCAATTTTTAATCACTTCTGTGGAACTGAATTATTTCCTTGAGGTATTCCCCCTTGGCTTATTAAACAGGATTATTAAGCAGCGATTGCAGGCCAGGTAAATCAACTTGTATACCCTTCAGAGCAGCTCTGTGTGTCATATACTTTTTTGACATGGAAGCGAAACTGCTGAACTAAAAGAGTGTGACAGAGTATTTCCTGTTTTGAGGTTTGTCCTAAAAATGGAACCTGTATATTGTATTAAGCCGAGGTTCCTAGTTAGATTCTCGGCTTGTTTTTATTTTTATTTGTGTATTCTGTGTATAAAACATTTGAACAATTTAGTCAGTTCAGTGATGTGTTCTCTAATTTCCTTTAGTCCCCATGTAGTCAAATATTATGGCAGCTATTTTAAAAACACGGACCTCTGGATAGTCATGGAATATTGTGGTGCCGGATCTGTGTCGGATATCATTCGACTGCGAAACAAAACGGTATGTGCTGCTTCAGAATGACACTGCTGTGAGGTGTGTCGAATTATTATTTCTATCTTGCCTTTGGTCTTTTGAGCCTAAGACAGTTTACAGCAACACCATGCTCCCAGACAGGTTGAAATAACAAAAATACAGTCAGAAACCACATCTGTAAAGAGGCCTCTAACAAAACTGAGAGACACAGGTTCAGACCCCCCCTTCTGTCCCAGGAACTTTCTAGGTGACCTTGGTTCCATCATAAAAACTCAGCCTGGACCACCTCACAGGCTTGTTGTGAGAAAATGGAGGAGGGGAAAACCAATGTTCTAAACTGTTTTGAGTCCCAACTGGGGACTTGCTTAGCGAACAGGCAAAATGCTTTTTGGGAGGAAAATGGTCCTTGCATCTCACTTGGGGAAGACTGGCAGAGCTGGAACGCTCGTCCCCCCCCTTTTTTTTTGTAAGGTGCTTCTACGATGCTGGAGCAACAACAGAAAAAAGCCCTGGCAGCAAACAGCTATGAGGGCAAGAAAAAGAAGCCTCAGTTATTCCAAGGAGCATAATTGGCTCATGCGTTCATATAGGGAGAGATTGCCCTTCAGGTATTTATCTGCATGCTAAGGATGCCTTTCTAGTCACTAGTCTGATTTTTTTATGACATGAGGTGTGAAGCTTCACACTTCCTTCTTTGTTGCCATAGAGATGGTGGCAGTTTTTTGGGGTCTGTAGGCTTTCTCTGCTACCTCTCTTCCTGGCCTCCAGAGTATATATTTCTTCACAAAACAGTACTGTATTTGCACATATATTGATGACTTGCAGTAGGTGTATGTAAATAACTGTTGTTGAGTACTGGTAGGTGGCAGTTCTGTCACATTAAACTATCTTCATGTCTTAAGTATGTTAAACTAGCACGCGGCTTGAATCCATTGAAGTACAAGACTGCTTGCCCTGTGTAAAGATGTAGACTTTCCAGAAATGTTGAAGCTATGGGGAAACTTATTTTTTCATGAAAAAAAAACAGAATTTGTGGGGAAAAAATATATGGAATAGTTACTTATCAAACCTACACTTCTCTTACTGATTGAACAACACAAAATGCATCATTTGTAACTGCGTCAGCTTATAAAATGGCACTATTTACATATTTATGGAGCTTAAAAGTATAAATTGTCATTTTCTATATGAAAATTTTCAAGTATAACCAGTACTTGAGAAAGATTTGCAGACTCCTGCACCATATACTACTATAGCAGATGCATATTTAATTTTTGCCCTCTGAGAGGTAGGGGAAAATGTAAGCTGAAAGTAGAAAATAAGTTCTTTGGTAAACAAAAGAAAGTATATTGTTTGAACAGAACCTCTCTCATGGAGTCAGAATAGGTAGGACTGTCTGTTTGGATATTAACCAAAACACTATAAAATGGAAAGCACTGAACTCTGTAATGGATTGTCATTAAAGTTGTGATAACATATTAATTGTTGCCAAAATTATTTACAATTAAACCACAAAAAATCTTGAAAATACTTTGCTTCTTTTTTCATGCTTGTAGATTTAGAATGAGTAAAATGCTTTGTAAGAGAAGGTATTTGTCACTCAAAAAAAGAAACTGTTTACCTTGATCTGGATAGCCCAGGCAAGCCCATTCTCATCAGATCTCGGAAACTAAACTGGGCTAACCATGGCAAGTACTTGGAAGGGTGACCTCCAAGGAATACCACGGCTGGGACACAGAGGCAGGTAATATCAAGCCAGCTCTCTGAAATGTCCTAGCTCCACTAGGTGGTGCCAGAAGTCACCATGCCTTCCAGGCTCACAAGCACACACACACAAATACCCCATAATTTTTTTTAGGGAAAATATTTCCTATTTTTTTCCAGTGTTGCCCCACATTCTTCAATTTTCCATTGGAAAAATGAGGGGGAATCATTGGTACCTTCCTAGTATCCAGGTCTCCACATTTTTAGGCTATATGACTCTTTCCTACCCTCCTCTTCCTCAGAGACTGGCCCTTCCTGATGGCTGCCCCCCATCTTCCTGTAGGTAGGGCTTGAGGAAATTCTGGCTGCGATCACACGCACAATTAGCCCCACCGTACGTGTGGATGCCGGGTGGATTTAAAGGGTGCCGTCAGACACAAACATCTGGGAAGCACCCTGCACCCATCAGCAACCTATTTTGCTCTACCGCAGAAGCAGAGTAAAAAGACACCAGGGAAAATGCAGTAGTAAACCGGTTGCAACGGGCCACGGACAGAGTTTCCGTGTCTGATCGCTCCAGCGCGCTCTCATGGCGTCGGGATGGTCAGATCAAGCCATCCCAACTCCATGCCGTTGTTCCCCCCCCTTCTCAGTATGCGCATCATTGTGAACTCCATAGGGAGCCCTCAGTGCAGAGATGCGATTCATTGATTCTTGTTTAAGTGCATCGGAAACAAACAGCAAAAAAAAAAACCCTGACTCACCTGTGGTTGCGTCTGATCATGCAGTGGCGGGCGGTGCCTGCCGCTTCCAAGGACTGTATGATCATGCAACTGTGAGTCAAATTCCTCCGGAGGAAATAGCCTCGCCTCGCCTCCCCCCCCACTTTATCTCACGCTTATGACTGCACCCTCTGTTTCATTGTATCTGAGGAAGTGTGCTTGCACACGAAAACTTATACCTTGAATAAAACTGATGGACTTAAAGGGGCCACTGGGCTCAAACTGTGTTCTGCAGCTTCAGACCAACTTGGCTACCCTCCTGAATCTGTCTTCAAAAAATGAGGTGAAAGTTGCAGGATCATGTGGACAAAAGACACCCCCCTTCCAAATCCATGCAATCTTCGAGTCCTTCAGTAAGGAGGGGGAAGCAGATGCAACCATTCTCCCCTTCCACTAACAGTGCACTTCTAGCTCCAAAAAAATTCTATTGGTAAAAGAGCAGTGCTCATTTTCTCCCCTTCCTTTAATCTGTGTGGCTTTTTACCCACACAGGGCCTGCTACTTTCAGTATCAGCTTCCCCCCCCCAATGTTTATTTTCCATATTTTCCACCCAAATACAAACATTTCATCATTATCTTAGATTACATAGATTTTCAGAGTTATTAAATCTCATTACATTTCTTATACAAATTATTAACTACTTGTTTGTTTATTAAACCGTTAACATGTCTTATCCAGTTGTATACCCTTGACCATCTTTTATTCTGTATTTTGTGGTCTTTACCTTGAAGTAATAAACTCAAGTTATCCAATTGTGCTAATTCTAAAATTTTTGATATTAAGTCCTCTTTTGAGGGTATTTTATCTGTCTTCCAGTTTTTGGCCACTAATATTCATGCAGCTGTTATAATATATACTAATATATCTTGCTTTACATAACCTTTTGGGACAATATTCAGCAAGTAGATTTCAGGCGTTAGCTCAACTTCTATGTTCAATATTTCTAGGATAATTTTATGTACCATTTTCCAATATTTTTGTATTTCACTGCATTTCCACCACATGTGATAAAAGGTCCCCACATTCGATTTACATTTCCAACATCTGTTAGACGTTTGGGGATAACACTTTGCAATTTTATCTGGGGACCAATACCACCTGTGAAACATTTTATAAATATTTTCTTTAAAGGAAATGGCTCTCATAAATTTAATGGATTTCCATATTGTGTCCCATTGCTCAATTTCCATATCTTTTCCCATATCCTGCATCCATGAAATCATAGTAGTTTTAATGTTTTCATCTAGTTCATAGTCGTCTAATAAGAACCTATACAGCTTTTGAATTAGTTTGTATCAGCTTTTTGAAGATCAGCTTTTAAAAAAATTCCCCAAGCTTATTTTTACTAAATGCTTTTGTGCATTTAGTGCCAGTGATTCATGGGGAATGGGGCTTAGTAAGTAATATAATAGTGAGGCCCAATTCATTCTGTGCAGAGTAATAAGACATAACATTTTCTTTATAGACAGGGCAGTCTTGCATATGTTACTGGACAATGTCCACTGCTAGCATCTGCTAATTAATAGCTTCCTTTCTGTCTCTAGATGTTGGAAGATGAAATAGCTACAATAATACAATCAACACTTAAAGGATTAGAGTACTTGCATTTCATGAGGAAAATACATCGTGACATCAAAGCTGGCAACATACTACTCAACACGGAAGGACATGCGAAGCTTGCAGACTTTGGGGTAGCAGGCCAACTTACAGTGAGTAGAAATTGTTCACACACACATTTTTATGACATCTGGTGGAGCTAAAATCAGGATGGGGTGGGGGAGTCTGGCTAAGATAAATGTGTGCAGTTAGATTTTTAATGAAGAAATTGCAACATATTTCATGCTCGCTGGTTAGCTGTGGTCATGTACGTTTCTAAGGCAGGTATGAGAATTCATGGTTGGTGTGAGCCATCCCTAGATTTTTAATGAAGAAATTGCAACATATCTCATGCTCGCTGGTGGCTGCAAGGTTAGCTGTGGTCATGTATGTTTCTAAGGCAGGTATGAGAACTCATGGTTGGTGTGAGCCATCCCCCTCCCCCCCAGGTTGTGCTTAATTTAGCGCTGTCAAGTCACAGCTGATTTACGGCAGTCCCTCATGGGGTTGTCAAGGCAAGAGATGAGCAGAGGTGGTTTGCCATTGCCTGCCTCTACGTAGCAACCTTGGAATTCCTTGGGGTCTCCCATTCAAATGCTAACTAGGGCTGATCTTACTTAGCTTCCCAGTGCTGATAAGCTCAGGCTAGTCCAGGCTATTCAGGCTGCTAAGGTTGTGCTTACCTCGAAGTAATAGCCTCTTAGACTTGATTTCCATTGGCTTAAATACGTTGAGGATTAGGATGTCATTTTAATTCCATTTATGGTGTCTAAAGAAATATGTACTTCCCAATTTCTTGTGTGGACCCCCCCCCACATGTCTTCTAGGAAATTTTCCCTTCATTGCCATACTTCCTTTTTCAGCAGGGTAAACGTAACTTTCCTATTACTTGTTTTAGGATACCATGGCTAAAAGGAACACTGTGATAGGAACTCCATTTTGGATGGCACCAGAAGTGATCCAAGAAATTGGCTACAATTGTCTTGCGGACATCTGGTCTTTGGGCATTACGGCCATTGAAATGGCTGAAGGGAAACCACCATATGCTGATATTCACCCAATGAGGGTAAGTATTGGGTAGACGTTTGAGAGTTCCACCCCCGGGAAGCTTGACGAGCACCTCTGCATGGCGGTTTATCTTGCCTATAGGGTCAAATCAACCTGTTCTTGTTGCATCCATTTCCAGGCCTGATTAAATGAGATTTTTGTTAGCAAAGGAGAACTTCTCCCCAGGATCCAGGAACATTCTAATTGAGTTGTAAACATTCACTTTGGTATATTTGTAAGACATCATGATTATATTCTTAAGCCAGGCTGTTTATAGATATGCACCCCTTCCCTGCTTGTAACTACAAAAAAGAAAAAGGCTTGGGAAACCTGTCATATCCTTTTGATGCATTGGCCAAATCTTGTGCTGTAATGAATGGCATTTGTGACTATTGCTCTCTTAAGTCATATTGCCTTTCACTTGTATGATTTAACCTCTTACCAGCAAATCCCGGCACTGTGCTTCGCTCATTCTTAGTGTGCTCCTTCCTCTGAAGCAAAAAAATAAATCAGGTTTCCTGTGCCCTGACTATTTAAGGAAACTAATGCTTGAATACCTGATGTATTTGCTGGGAAGGAAAAGAGGTGGGAACTAACAAGCTGACTTGAGGAAGATTCCACTGCTCATTGTAATATATAAGAAGCAGACTAAAGCAAAGTAAAACAAAAATACTAGATGTGTAGAGTAGAAAGAATTAGCATTCCTTCTGTTCCTGGCTGGAGATCTGCCTTGATCCTCATTGGTCTTCCAGATGCTGGTGGTACTTTAGCTTCCTGCGCTGGACTCCAGGTATGGCACTATGTGCTCTCTTTGGTGCATTCTGTGACAAAGGATGTTGGGACCCTCTTGTCAATGAGAGTACTTTCTCTTCCATTCATGCCTACTCTCTTCCAAGCATTTGGGGAGCTGGCTACCAGATGCAGGAAGCTGGGATAATTTGGCAAACTAGATGGACATGGCCACAGATTGCTGAAGCCCATGAGCAAGAATTTTTGGCTGACATAGGTGAACTTGCATTTATTTGAATTCAATATTTACTGAATTGACATTCTTTCACAGAACTAGCTTCCTTTCATAAAGCACAGTTTTCACAGATATGGAATAACACAACACAACAAACCTTTATTGGCATAACAGCAGCAGCGTTGGTTCAGGGATACAGGAAAGGAAAGAGAAAGACCAAGCAGTTAATTAACTACTCATTCTGACAGAAAAGACTTTTCCTCCTATATGCACAGTAAAGGAAGTTTGCCACTGCTTTGATGACGTCAACCCTATTTGGGGCTAGAAGGTTCATAATCTTACTTTCCTCAGATTTGCTCTCCAGGGATCTCAGTATAGGACCAAGGTGATAGGCACGTAAATCCTGGTAAAGTCTACAAAACAGAAGCACATGGTCTGTTCCTTCAATCTCCTTTAGCCCACATGGACACAACCTATCCGAGAAGTGTTTTTAAAAATTTCCCATATAGCACAGCTGAGGGATACGGAATAGTGTAATTGTATTGTTGCAGTCATCGGTTGAATTTTTTTCTTAAAATATATAATGTTGGCTATATTTACAATGGCAGTGTGTTAGCGTAGGAACAGTTTATGGGCACATGTTTGGTACATTCTAGCAACTAGTATGCCCAGAGCAAGGAAATGAGTCCCGTATGTATTAAGCTGAGTTGGAAGGTACAGCTGTTGGAGCTTCCATTACATCCAATTAGGAAATACAAGGTTTCCCCTTAACCATTAGTCCAGTTAAAGCAGAATACAGTTCGACTGCATTATGGCTACTGAAGTTTTTCAATGTGTTTGGCCTTTTCTGTTTGGCTTTTTAACAAGATGAACGTGTAGTGGAGGAAAAAAACACTATTATTGTTGCTTGCAGGCAATTTTCATGATTCCTACAAATCCACCTCCAACATTTCGAAAACCAGAACACTGGTCAGATGAATTTACAGATTTTGTAAAACAGTGTCTTGTGAAGTGTCCAGAGCAAAGAGCCACTGCTACACAGCTGCTTCAGGTCAGTACCTGCAGGGTGGAATGTAAAGAATACTTTTAAATGGTGATCTCACCCCCCCCCCCCAGCAATAACATACAGCATTGCTATCTATATACTTCTAGAATTCTGGTTTCTACTTTCCTCGCATAGCAGCCTTTTTGCTGAGTTCCCTGTGCTTTGTCTTTCATAGTATTCCCTGCCTGTGTTTGACTCAGCACTACACTTGATTATCATAATACTACTTGGAGAAGCAAGTGGTTCACTTCACATATATTATTTCAGTAATGTTGTAACAACCTAGTTAAGGTAAACCAATATAATCAGTTATCCCCATATTAGATTATGGGTATGTGACTACTAAATTGTGGACACCCAGTGACTTTGTAGCTAAGGTGAGGTTTATATCGGGTGGTCTTCAGATGTGTAGCTCATAGTGTTCAATTAGTATATTGTACTGAGTGCTTATCTCTTAGAGAAAGCTAACCATTTTAGAAGAAATCTTAACCTCTGTCAGCTTGAAGGGTTGAGTTGAGTAACAGCACATAACCAAAAGAAGGGGGAAATCGTGTTTTAATCACCTCCTACAGAGGGAGAAAGATGCACTGAATGCCACCAATGACTATTGTAATGTTTTTATTTGTAACAGCTTAATTGACTGTTGTATAATTAATTTGTTGTATGTTTTAACTTGATGTACACTGCCCTTCAGGAAAGGGCAGTTTAGATATTGAATAAATAAATAAATGAAGTATATTAGAACATAAAAACATAACATCAGACCAAAAGTCTATCCATTCCAGCATCCTGTATCACACAGTAGCCAACCAGTTCCTCGTGAGGCCTTCCCCTGATGTTGTTTCCCATCTCCGGGATTCAGAGGATTAGTGCCTCTGAATGTGGAGGTTCCCCTTAGCCATCATGGCTAGTAGCCATTGATAGACTTAATCTCCATGAATCTATCAAATCCCCCTTTTAAACTGTTTATTCCTGTGGCCATCACTACATCCTCTGGCAGCTAATTCCACATTTTAATCAATTTCTGTGTAAAGTAGTGTTTCCTTTTGTCTGCCCTTAACCTATTGCCCCTCAGCTTCATTGAATGTCCTCGAGTTATTGCATTTTGGGAGAGAGAGAAAAGGGTCTCTTTGTCAGCTCTCTCCAACCCATGCATAATTTTATAAACCTCTATTGTGTCCCCCCTCAGTCGTCTCTTTTCTAAACTGAAAAGTCTCGGGGTGATTTCCAACAAGTGCTGCTCCGCGCTCACTCTTCTCTTTGGCCCAATGGTACATGTCAATTTCACACAAGCTGCTGTGCTGCCGCATTTTGCCCCACAGCTTCGTGCAATTTCCCCCGCGTCTACTCAATCCTGTTTTTTGAGGATTGAGTAGATGCGGGGAAAATCGCGTGAAGCTGTGGGGCAAAATGCGGGCCGCGCAGCAGCTTGTGTGAAATTGACACATACCATGGGGGCAAAGAGAAGAGTGAGCGTGGAGCAGCGCTTGTGGGAAATCAGTGATTCGGCAATGTAACATACTGCTTGGTATGGCTGTATAATGTCCTCCCGAGGAGTTCCAAGGAGCAAGACAAGCATCTAACAGGGTACTCTGGGTATAGGATGCCGTGCTCTGTTCCAGGATATCAGGCTAAAGCATCTATTGGATTCCTGCTTTTTTTTCTGCTTTTGTTTTGCAGCTGTTTTGAGATTGCTAACAAGCAGACTTTAAATTTTGCATGTCCTTAATTCAGAGGCTTGCTCCCAAGTCCCCGTGCACAGGACAGCAGATTGTCAGATCCCTTGTTGGGAGGAAGGGTGTCTCTGGAGGTCAGCCATATGTTGGGTAGCTGTATTCATTGGCAAGCTTCCTTTGTACCTTCTATGTATTTCCCATTGAACTGAAGTACTGCTTATTTTATCTGTTTGCAAAATTAAGAACAAACTGCGTTCAGATGTCTTACTCAAACTGTAATGAAGTGAAAATGTGCACGCGCTGGACTTCTTGTTCAGACTGTGCACCTCACTTTTCTTCCCCCTCCATTTCAAATGTGGAGAACTGGAATTAAAAAACAATTCTGGTTATCCTTGATACACAAATTAAGGAATGTAAATTGAGTTAAATCTCTCCTGCCCTCAGCTGATAATTGTCATGCCAGGTTTAGATTTCAGAGTGGGGAGGGCTTCAACCTAATTAATTAGATTATCATAGCTCTCAGTAGAAATTTTTTGCTGCTGCACTTCAAATGAAATTGTAGATATAATGTATATATATATATATATTTTCAATGTGTGTTTTAGCACCCATTTGTTAAAAATGCCAAAGGAGTTTTCATTCTACGAGATCTAATTAATGAGGCAATGGATATTAAACTGAAAATTCAGGAAGCTCAGCAGCGTGAGTTGTATCATGATGATGAAGAAAATTCAGTGAGTATTAAAACTGCAAAAAAAACCTTGTATAGCTTTTGTTGCTCTTCTATGGCATTGTTGATTTTTCTGTATTTAACTCACTTGGTTGTTAGGCTTTTCCAGTCATCTCTCAGGAGAAACTTTCTCCCGGGATCCTCAATTTTAGAACCAGCTCTAAGCAGGTGAACCATGATAAGGAGACAGGATGGTTGGTTCTGTAAGCTTTGTCCTCTCAGAAGAAGAAGAGATCGGATTTTTACCCCGCCCTTCACTTGGAGTCTCAGAGCGGCTTACAGACTCCTTTCCCTTCCCCTCCCCACAACAGACACCCTGTGAGGTGGGTGGGGCTGAGAGAACTCTGACACAAACTGCTCTTTTTCAAGGACAGCTGTGCCAGAGCTTGTGACTGACCCAAGGTCACATCAGCAGGTGCAAGTGGAGGAGTGGGGAATCAAACCCGGTTCTCCCAGATTAGAGTCCGCACACTTAACCACTACACCAAACTGGCTCACAGTATAGCTGCTTGAACAATAATAGTGCTGAACTGGTTCCACTACTTATTTCAAGCCTCAAGCATTGCTGGTTTGATGGCCATGGAATACTGGCAGCCAAAAAGAAGGTGAGAACCAGCCATAGCAAAAGATGCTAAGGAAGAGATGAAACCAGGCAGACACTTGGAAAATATCTTAGTTGCCTTCCTGTTTGCCCCAACCCATGAGTCTCCGACCCTCTCTGCTTTATATTTAATTATTAGATTGGGCTCTGACTAGAGCAGCGGTCCTCAACCTTTCCAGAGCCAGGTCCCACCTTTAGTTGCCAGATGGTAGCATGGGATCCACTAAGCTTGTTAAGTGCTTGTGACTCAGGTCGTGGAGGTCCATCACCCTCTTAAGAGTCCCAGTCAGTGAGTGGAAGTCCACTGGGTTAGAGGACATCACTTCAGTCATAGTACCTTAAAAACTACTTCAAGCCCTGTTGAACTGAATATGGCAATTGTGCTGGCCAAGAACATCTCAGGATTGCATAGGATTAGTGTAGTGGCTTCTGTTGTAACAGCAGAATTTCAGTGTTTTTTAGCTTGTAGTTATATTAGATACAAATTATTTAAGAATGAGTTTTAATTCAGGGGTATAATTTTATTTAATTCTGCAGTTTACTCAATAACCTTGTTTTGCAAAAAAAATTTAACTATCCCTAGATTGTCTTTCCTGTGTTTCTGACTAAATAGGAAATTTCATTCTTCAGAACTGTGTATCAAGCGTCATTCTGTTGATTGAGAGGGAAAGGAACAAAGAGGATGCTGATACTTGATGAGCCAGGATAAAATTTGCAGCACCAACAATTAATGTTGCTTGCATTTTTAGTGGATATCTGAGAGTTAATATTTTGTGTAGATTTATTGAGATGGCAAAGGAAGACATCATTCAGAAGTGTGTTTCTTGCATCCCGTGTTCAGGAAGAAGATGAAACTGACTCTAGGACCATGGTGCGGGCAAGGGGACAGGAGACGAGTACGATCAGAACTGCTTGTGGAATGAGTGAAGGCATTAATACCATGATAGAATACAATGACACTTTGGAATCTCAACTGGGGACAATGGTCATAAATGCAGAAGATGAAGAAGATGAAGGGACAATGAAGAGTAAGTGGTCTGGTTTTAATTTAGGAGCTCAGTCATACAAAAGTAATCTCTAATGTAAGGATGCTACCAAGAAATGCAGCAATCTGAATGATTCTTGTGTTCTGTGATGTTTGGTGGGTTTCCAGTCTTCAACAGCAGTAAGTTTCCTGGCTTAGAAAAGTAAGATGGGGGCTGCTCCAAGAGAAGCCCAGACTGTGTTCCTTATAGTGTTACTTGACAGAAATGATTTTTTTTAATTGCAGCAAAATGGCTTTTTATGCTGTCTATGAAACTTCAGTTTTGTCTGATGCACAGGTCTAAAGAGTTTCAAGTAGACTCAAGAGGTTTTTTACATTTGTTTCTCAAATAGTAGTCTTCCTGTTCTACATTTCAAAATGTGCTTTTGAATCAAGGGCACTTTCCAGCAATTTGTGATGTGGTACAGTGAAGTCTGTTCAGAGAGAGATGTGAAAAGATCAAGACCGCTATGCAAGCCCTTAGGTATGCCTAAAGCAACTCTTGGATCCTGTCCTGGTTCTGCCAGCTATCCATGCTTGAGTTGGAGTGGAATCCAGAGGGTAGTCTCCTTACACTGTGAGCATCTGGCAGGGATAAATATCAGCTTTCTACTACTGGAGTGGTAATATGTCAGTGGCACCAGTCCTTGTGTGCATATTTTCATTTCACAAAATAGGGAAAATATCTGCTTAAGAGTTGTACTCTTCAGACCCGTGTTCTTTTCCTCTCTACTCGAATACTAGAAATACTGTAATACTCGAATACTGTAAGCACCTGCTTCACCCTCCATCAAAAATTTAGCATTCACTTGCTCACACCTCTCTGCACAGGGAAGGGAACTTGGACTGAAAAGTCAAATCAGTGGTGCCCCACACTCGTTCCTGGGAAAAGGCTGCTTACCATTGAAACTGGCCAAAGCCACATGAGACGTCTCCTGCTGCCCCCTCCAATTTCTAGGAGGAGGAGGTTTGAATGGAGCCATGCTCAACATGGCAACTCCTTCCTTTGCAGCACTCCTGCATCCATTCATCCTTCAAAGGGGAACTTGTAATAGGAGTCAGTGGAAAGCCACAGTGGCTCCTCAACACCCTACTAGAAGTCTGGTAACCAGGTGCCTGACCGTTTCATCCTCATCTGGTTACAGGTTAGCCTCTCTTTGACAGTGTTACCACATCAGTCCCGAAGTAAAACCTTTTTAAAAAGCACAGTCCACATATAATGTCTTTTATTAGGACTAAGCAAATGACACATAACTGGCAAACTTGTGGTGTTCTTCAGAAATCTTCATCAGACTTCAAGCTTGAGGGTGATCTTGAAAGTTCACTCTCCATTGTATGTCGTTTGGTTAGTTTTAATAAAGGGAATAATGTAGATTGTGTTCTGTTTCTTTGGGTTTTGTCATGTTAGGTTTGGTTGGGTCAGATGCCAGCTTAGCCATAATGAGGAGGGAAATTTGCCAGGATGCTGGGCATTATCATACCTGGCTACTTGCTCTTAACCAGCAGGTAGTTTGTTGGGCACATCTCCCATCAGGAGGTTCTGTGAGGTAGAACCAGTTCAGACATGCCAGAGATCATGGCATTGGCTCTTCCCTCCGCCACCCCACAGCTGGGATGGGAACCTCAACCATATGTCCTTTGTATCTTCTGTAGGCAGAGTTCTTCCCTCTCCTGGGTATCAGCATGGTGGGGCTGGGGTGGGTGAGACAAAGAGAAAGGTGACTAGTTGTAAGGATGCTCCTTTCCAAGAGAGCTGATTTAGAGTTGAATAGAGAAGGGGACTGTTGGATGACAATTATTTCCTTCCTGCTCCCACTCGATGTTGTATATTTAGATCTAACTTCAGCCTAGTGATTCAGGCTCAGGCACTTGAGGTCTTTCAGTTAGGAGATCCCACAGTCTCTGGGGCACTTGCTCCAAGGGGCACTCAGCCTCAGGATTCATCTGAAGCTTTCTCTCCACAACTTGACTGAACCAGTTAGTTCCATTCCTGGCCTTTTTCTGTTATATCCAGGAAAACAATGTGAGTTAAACTTCCCTTTCCCTCGGAATAAAACTACTAGTTGAATGTAATACTGAATTGTAAAACACACAAGTGGGAATGTTTTTCTTTATACAACAAGTTATTAAAATGTAGAATTTGCTGCCAGAAGATGTAGTGATGGCTACAGGCATAGGTGGCTTTAAGAAGGAATTGGACAGATTCATGAATTAGACAATAATTCTAAAGTCAAGCAATAGTGACTGAAAGGAACCTGCACGTTCAGAGGCAGTCAACCTCTGAATCCCAGTGTCAGGAGGCAACATCAGGGGAAGGCCTCAGCCTCTGTGCCCTGTTGTTGGCCTTCCAGAGTAACTAGTTGGCCACTGTGTGAGACAGGATGCTGAACTAGATGGGCCACTGCTCTGACCCAGCAGGGCTCTTCTTAAAGTTGTAATTTAGGAATGCTGTGAGGTTCTCAGCTTTAAGCCCTGGGGCAGCTGTTCCAGTGGCTGAACTTTAGTTGTAAGTGTCTAAACAAGTAAGGCAAAAGTTAGTGATGGCTTAAGTTTGACACAGATGTGTGTTGAGGAAGTTATTGTAAGTGCCTAAATAAAATATAGGGCAGGCGGCTCTTGTTAACCCCCAGAGCAGTTTGGGAACAGAGCAGCACTATTGGAAAGCATTTTCCCCCATGCATTTAATTTCAAAGAAGGAATTGGTTTGCACTGTGTGGTGTGTATCCTTTTTTTCTGTATGCCACATGCAGACTTTTTTCTTTTAAGTGTCAGGCAAACTTCAGATGGTTTTATTTGGACATGGAATAAAAATGGGAGGAAGAACAAAAATAAGTTTTGTTTTTAAGTACGCTAAGCAGTACTTCAGCCTAACTTGCTTAGAATCCCTCAGTTTGAGTCCATTGAAATTTTAATTATCACACAGCTTGCTATTTTTTCCTGCATGTATATTTCTTTAATACGTCTACATATGCTTTCAGGGAGGGGGAGGGGGTTTGTTATAGAGATTTGTAATGCTGCTGATTTAAAACTGATTTGCTGTTTCCAATGTGTTTATTCAGGCAGGGTGCACATTCAGTTGTGAATTTTATGTTTTATGTTTGCGTGTGAATGCCCTGTAGAAACATATCTGATAAATAAAATAAATTATTTATGATGAAGCATGATGCTAAAGTACTTTTGACAGTTTTGAACCAAAAGAGGGAGCTCCAGCACAGCTTTCGTAATAGAAAGTCTTTTGCACAACATCTTAGGATGGTTGATTTCTCCCATGTTATCACTGATAATAAATATTCAGCTAATCTTCTCCAAAGGATACAGAAGAGGAACTTCATAGTTCTGTAGTTGAATACAGTGAAAGTTCAGTTGTCTGGTTGTTGGCTATTTCTTAGACATGGGTCACTGTACTCCTAGACAACATAAGACCTGTGGGTCAGTTCTGAATTCATCCTGGTTTGCTGTCTGTTATCAGCATTCCAAAAAACTCCATTGCTTGCAGATTTTACCCTAATTATTTGTGGGGGCTTCTGTGACCCACCCAAGTCCCTCAAAAGTAGCAGTGGGAGAATGTAGTCACTGTGTCTCCCTTGTGTGACCTTCTCCATGGATTCAGAGATGTTCAGAAGTGAAAAGGTCAACCGCAAGGGAAGAGTCAAGTCAGAAGGACAACAGAAGCAGTGAAAGCCCTGTGTTCAATTTATTTTCTTAATTTGTACTTTGCCTTTCTCCCTAATGGGGACCCAAAGCCACTTATACTGTTTCCCTTTCCTCCATTTTATCCTCACAACAACCCTGTGAGGTAGGTTAGGCTGCAGAAGTGTGACTGGCCCGAAGTCACCCAGTGAGCTTCCATGGCACGAGTGGGGATTTGAACCTGGGTCTTCCAAATACTAGTCCAACATTCTTAACCCACTACATGACCCTGGCTCTCATAATCCCCTTATGAAGATTAGGTATCCTTCTAAGTGCAGAAATCTGTCTTGTATTTAAGAGCTGTATATGTTTACAGCATGCTCCCCTTTTCTTTAAAAACATTTCACTCATTCCAGAAGAGAAAATATTTCATAGAAGTTTTTTCTGTATTCCCCAACTTTGGAAGGGGGGGAGGCCTCAGGAGAAAAATGGGGGGGGGAGTCCCTCCCTTTCCCCGGGCCTTCTCATCTATAAGTAGGAGACATCGCCTAGTGGTAGAGCCTGTGCTTTGTATGCAGAAGGTCCCAGGTTCAGTCTCTGGCATCTGATTTCAGGTAGCAGGTCAAATCAGTACTGAGCAAAGTAGATTAATGGTCTGAACTGTATAAAACAGCTTCATATGCTTAGAGAGCAAAGAGAGGGTCTGGCAAAAAGGACAGTCAGATTTAAAGTTGCAACAAATGTTTAACAAAGCAATCCTTACCTTCGTGCATTAATAAAAATGGCAGATGATTAAAGTGTTGCATCCCTAATCTGTATTGACCTGGAGTTGCCAACTCCAAACTAGGAAATTCCTGGAGAGTTTGGGGGTGGAGCCTGAGGAGGGTGGGCTTTGGGGAGAAAGGGACCTTTGTGGGATATAATGCCCTATAGGTCACCCTTCAAAGAAAGTAGCCATTTTCTTTGGGGGAACTGATCACTGTAGTCTGGAGACCAGTTGTATTTCTGAGAGATCTCTAAGCTTCACCTGAAGGTTGGCAACTCTGGCCAACAGGCAAAGATCCTTCATGGTGCTATTACAAAACGGCAAGGACTTGCAGAGGAAATCTCATCCTTCCCCTCCCACCCACTATTTCCCCTTTCCCTTCCTTGAAGGCCCCCATAGCTTCTTTCCTTTTCTGCTTCCTTCTCTTCTTCCCATCCACCAGCCAAGCTACTTTTTTTTTTTTGGTAAACAAATTTTATTTTCAATAGGAACTTAACATCCAACAATATTCATTTTCATTTTCCCTTCGTTTACCCCGTTCCCCTTACCACCCCTTCCTCCTGTGGCTTCCCGCAATGCTTCCACCCTTCCACCCACATTATAATACG